CCCAAAAAGCCTTTTCAGCGAAAATTAATTCTGCGAAAATAAAGTATTTCACAGGAGCCTGGTTGGGTCCTGATTTGACAATTCACCCTATTATTACCACAACAACTAAAATAGTCTGTGACCTTAGACGAAATTGTGCTTCTCTTTCTCTTTTTTTTAGCATTAATAGATGTCAGCAAGGAGCCATTAATATATTACTGATTGATTTTTTTTCTCCAGCGTCTGTGACTGTGTGCTGATGCATGTTTAATTTTTGTAAAACTGTGTCTGTGTCAAACATTTATCTACCAGATCTCTCTGATTATCCTCTTGAAGTACAAACATCAATCAAAAAATGCTTAAAAAAGAATTCCCACGTGCTGAGAGTATCGAAGACACATTACATTTAATTCAAGATTAAAGATTAACCTTTTAAACAAGAAGCTTGGCAACTAATATTTGTTATTGATGACTTTTTACCATCATGATCATACAGATTTGTCTAGTGTGTGTCTTAAGTAGTTTGAAATTACCTTCTTGATTTATTTATTTGTTGATGCCGAGTGTCTTCTCCAGGGATTCTATATGGAATACAGAAAGAGAAGTCTTTCAAATACCTGTCTATTGTTGCTGTGTACACCCTATATACTAGTCATAGATTGTATGGGATGCACTTTTCTAAATAAAAATGTTTTCCAACCTCAATTTTCCTTGTCTTACAGGATTATCCGGAACTGATGGAGATCAATAAAGATAACAGAAAGTGGAGAAAATGGAATTTAGAATATTCCGCTGATTTACTTAGTCGAAGATTTCCTGATAGTTATGTGTGGATTATTAGACCTGTTAGAAAGTATGCAGATAGCTTCAGTTGTTTTGACAACTTTGTAGACGGTGATGTTCTTGGAACGCCATCACACTCAGATAAACGACTCTCTATACACCATTTGAAAGAGTTATTGAATAATTCTATTCATTATGTCAACTCTGAAAATTTATGTAAAAAACGCAGCAAAAGTGTGAAACCTGATCTTACTTGTCAGACTGCTGAAACTCTGGATTGCAATGAAGTTTCTTGTGACAGTAGTATCCCGACTGTGCTGCCAGTTGTGATCGTTGGTTTCAGTAAAGGATGCATTGTTTTGAATCAAATGCTTCATGAATTGGGTCACGTACACAAAGATAAACATGTGAATGAGTTTGTCGGCCGGTGGAAGGCGTTGTATTGGTTGGATGGTGGACATAGTGGTGAACATGACACGTGGATCACCGATGAGACGATTCTCAAGGAATTGACAAAATTAAATCTGCAGATCAATGTACATGTGACACCATTCCAGATTAAAGACCCAAGAAGGCCATGGAAAGGCAAAGCAGAGCGACTTTTTGTTGATACATTGAAAGAGTTGGGTGCCGATGTTCGTGAAGTTATTCATTTTGAAGATGCAGGATATTCATTTGCTAATCATTTCAAAGTTTTGGAAGCATTTTAATCTCAAACAGGGTTCCCTCATTGCAAACCACTAGAGATTCATATCGTCAAGATATGTACCACACTGCACCGTGTTGGATATGCATCTCATACGACATATACAATTTGATTGCATGCTGCGATGACTGATGTTTTATACAGTCGTGTATTTGGCAATTTTGTATATCAACAACTTGGCCATGTGTATTTGTTTCTTGGATATATCCCAGGATGTTTCTCCATATTCACCATGGAATCAAAGGTTAAAATTAAATTTTTTTTATTCACTCAAACCATAAAACTACACGCAATACGTGAAGTTATTCCATTTTGGTCGTTGAATGATATATGCAGGTTTATTCGTGATTGCTCTCAATCATTTTTGTATTTGTTGGTTTTCACTAACACATGCAAAGAAATCAACACTTGTCAACAGTTGTGAGATTCCATAGTGTAAACCAAAGTGCTCTGCAACTTGTAATATGAAACAATTTCACGCAATGTGAAAAATGCTAAGACATCTTCTATTGCAAGTGCACTTTTTAGACAAGAATGAGAAATCGCTCAGAATACAAGAGGACTGTTTTTCTGATAAAATTCATTACATCACTAGATTAAAGGAAGGATTGATTGATTTATTGTAATTATTTATGGAAACTTTTTTTACATAAATGACACGTTTTTAGGCTCACAAATAATGAAAATGAGGAGCATACAACTGAAAATTAAATTATTATAGTTTATTGCACAGAAAAGCATCAAATAAATAAATATTTATTTATAAAATGAAAAAAAGAAATGTTTGCCTTTATTAAACATTGCCCAATTGCTTATTATCACTTTACCAAAAGACAATACTGTCAGTCTTTCTAAAGACCGTTCCAAACATGTCTTGTCATTGATAAATAAATGATTCAGGTCTTTTAAGATAACAGTTGTGCAAATCAATCACTGCACACAAAAGACTGCCGCAGACAGTGAAAGTAACATTGGATGACAGATTTTAAAAGCTAAAATTTGAAATCCATCCTGATATAGGCCACCATGCTTTAAGAACTTTAAGCTATCCAAACACTAAGTTGATATAATAATTTAAAACAGTAAATAACTCAATAATAAAAAATAGAATATAATTAAAAAAAAATTATAACTTTATTTTGTTCTGTCAAAACTGGTTTATTCTGACTTAGTCATTTTATCTGTACTAACAGAAGTAATAAAATACAGTATATAACAAATTAAATTATTAAAGAAATTAAGTAACGTTTTATTTTATATTTAAGTATTTTCTTGAGATGATAGATGTATACAGTGAAATTATATATAAAATAATATGCATTCCACCATGGTCACTACAAATTTTGATTCCATGTCCACCAGTAACAGTTACTTGTCAGACATAGTTCTCATCAGGTGATTGTGATGTTATGTGACAATGTCAGCATCCAATCAGAATGTAGTAATTAGATTTGGAGGACCTCTACAGACCACCTTGTCTTTAGTTCCCATGCAGTATCTCTATTGTATATAGTAGTGCACTTGAACCAGCTGTTATTTTTGCATGCGTTACTAATAAAGTAAATACAGCACAGGAAAATAATTTACAGTGACATTACATCCTTGCATTTTGGTTTTCATTATATTACTGTATTTGCTTTATTAGAAGTAATCTCCAATAGGAGCGTATGTAAACCAACAATAAGTTACATGTATTGTATACTGAATATGAATTATTTTGACCATAGAAACACATCTGTAATTGATGTAAGTGTATCAGCTACTTAGTAACATAATATTGTCCTTGTAACAGCATATACGACACAGGACAATAATTTACAGTGACATTAAATTCTTAACTCGCATTTAATTTTTCATGAAACAAGATTTTTGCGTAATATGAGTAAATATGACCATATGGTGAAACTTACAGACATAAACAAACAACAATTTCATTGTAAGGTGTATATAGGTGTATTACCAATGTATGCGGAATTGGTAATGGAAATTGACACTTAACAGACTAATTTCATGTTGAAATCATTAGTGACCGATTGACACTCATTTTGTTATCCATGCACAGAATAATTACAAGTTTGACAGTGTGTATTGTCTTGCAGACTGTCCTGGCTTTCTGTGATAACCTCCGAGGGGTTCCTCTATAATCCTTGGATCAGCTGTTAATTCTGGATCACTGGTTATTGGATTATGAACCAAAGAACTCTCCTGAAATCAAATAAATATATAAACATACATATATGATATAAGGCAAAAAAGGCACCTCACACCTTTTTTTTTTTTTTTTTTTGCAATATAACACGTATTAGTGAAGTGCATCACGTACACTTTGAGGCCTAATATGAGCCTTAGTCACAAGACAATTCAAATTACTTGTTTGTGTGTATTTCTATAAATTAATAAAAATCAATATGAAAATGTTATAAGCGAAGCCAAGACGTCAGTGGATTCAAATAATATGAACAAAATGATAAACAGCTAACAGTCAAAATACATGTAGCTCTGCTGTTTCAGCAAAGCCTTGAGAGTTCCCTCTAATGTCACAGAAGGAATTAATCCATATGAGGTGTACTTATAAGCAATTGAAGTAGTGGTTTTCAAGCACAACATTTTTAACCAAAAGTTGCAAAAATATTTTCTAAATCTAGAGAATTGAAGACAAATCTGACAGAGGTCCACCAAAGGGCGAGCTGCTAGTTTTCAAGAAGAAATTGAAAATAGAATTGTTGACAGATGAACGACAACGGACAATCACTATATAAGCAGCTCTGCTCTGTCATCTTTTATGATAGTGGAACTAAAAAAGGAAACCCAATTTTTTAGGCATAGGATCACATGACATGCTTAATACAAGATTCTGATTTGAACAAAAAGAAAGTTTCATACCTCAATGTGCTGTGTGTTAGTTTTTCTATTTCTCCCCTTGAACAACTTCTTGGTGATATTACGTCCCTTTGTTCCGTCGGATTTTCTTTTCTTTGGAGCAGCCTGTTGTAATTCAGCCTCCACTTGCAGCATTTCTCGGGGAGGTTTAGGTAAATCCTTCACATGTAGTCTGTTCATCTCGTTTGCATACTTTTCAACGATCATTCTCTTTTTATGCCTCGCTTCAATTTCTTTCTTTGTTCTGGGAATTCGTTTCTGGGAGAAGCAGCACGCAATCACAACTGCAATGAAAAGACAAACATGATTAAAAAACTTGGAACTATATTTGTTCTATTACAATAAGAGCATAAAGCTGTGATTGTTATAAATGTTATATAAATATACCTTTTTATTAATCAAAATAAATGTTTGAATTCAAATTGACCAATCCGGCAATGGTATTTTGATATCAACATTAGTTCTAGTTAATAGTCAACATTATCCAATCAGCAAGCGCCTTATTTTGAGTATTTGAGCAGTCACAGTTGTTATGTCACGTGAATACATGTGCACATTATGGGCATAGACACTGTTTAGCCTATCACTATTAAATTATTTAATTTGAATGAAAGCTGATCATTTTTATAAGCCCTAGCTTTGTGACATGCACTACCAGGTAATATGTAAATGAAATTTCATGAAAATGTACATATCAGCAGTATGCCGGAATCCAAAAAGTCAAGTCGGCTTTGTGACTACTTGTGACACGCGACAATCCCACACGTACCAGTGCACTAATTAGTAGGACCGCAAACTAAACTATTGTTGCGGTGTTGTTTGTTGTTTTCATACTTATTTTGTTTATGTCATGTGAATTTCATTTAAAAAAAATTCCATAACTATATAGTAAGATGTTTTTCAAGATTACTATACCGGTAATACCGTTGTATGATTTTCTGTTGCATCATTTGCATGTCAGGGAGTGAGCATAACTAGTTGTATCGATACAGAGGGCGCACTGCAAACCAGGTTGTTTAAACTAATGCATACAGAAACTTATAGCAAGGGAGTCATCATCTGCACATGCAGCCAGCCATAATGTGTCTTTGTTTATACAAATAAGTGTCTAACCATGAGCCTTTGTGTTTTTAGTATGCGTTATAATCATTACTAAGACTCAATTCCTGTGTATGCGTGGGTAATGATCCCTTCGCTTTAACTGACGTAAAGAAGACACCTCAAAGAAATATCTTTAAAATCCAATAATGTTGTTACCAATTTTTAAAAACTATATGTACCAGTAATGCACATACTTAAGGGTTTTAAAGCATATTTTGAATATTACTGGTAGATCCAATCCTCGGGGGCGGAGCTACGCCACAAGACGTTCTACGTTGCTGCGACGCGCACCACTGTACCATGCATTTCTATGGGCTCTGTGCACGCTGCTGTGGAACGCCGGTCGAGCCGGTGAAAATTCAAGAAAACAACACAAACTCAACTTTGAAGTAATTCCGAACAACCAAATTTATATATGTTATACACGTAGGGCTAATCTTGTTACACTGTTCAGAGGAGACTCAACAATCATCACAAAGTACCGTTTTCTGCGAGTTTTGGGCCTTTGTTTTCACCGCTGCGGGTTGCCAGGCGGTGAAAATGCCCGGATGTCCGCCCCCGAGGATAAGGAGAATTTGACATGGCTGGCAGAATTTCATGTCTGAGTATATTTTTTTTTTCAGGAAGCAAATACCAAATGCTAATCAATACTTTCAATCGTGGCAATGTTGACACTGCGTTACAGAATCATGAATACCGAGTAAAAAAAAAGCAGGTATCTATATTTGACTAAAATGCAACAATATGGCAATGGTTATTAATGAATGTGTACAATGTATAAAAGCAAGAGCAATACAACCGTTTCATTTTCATTATTGCATCCGATGACTTATTTGGTTTGGCAATATTGTTTTGTTGGAAATGCGACCAACCCCTACTCATAGGGAAGAACACATTATTAAAGCTATTGTCATTTACAAACAGGTATGCTTTTGGAGTAACTTTTGCCTGGAATAAAATACAATTACAAAACCGATGGTTTCTGTTTTTTTTTTTTTTCTTTTTTTTTCAATCTTCTTTTTGACGGTGTTTTGGCAGGAAACAGGAAAAAATCCCTGTGATGGGGCCCTTTAGGAAAGAAACTTTAGACGTCAAAACCAGGATGAGCTGTAACGCATTTTTTTCATGAGAGTGGAATGTTGGTAATGAATCAAGTTCAATTGCAAAAGAATTAGAAAATTGAATAGAATTGAATTGAATAAAAATAATCACTAGTTTTATGTTTAACTATGTCTTTTTTACTGCTCGCAAATGTAAAATTTATACAGCAATAAAAACTCATTCACAGTAAATTTAATTTTTTTTTTTACAAAAACATCTTTTTACATCATGAAATCGAGGGGTTTACTCACTGCAAGTCAATTATCAGTTATGTAACATCTTTTTTATATTGCAACATGTACAGTTTGGTTCAAATTTTAATATATGTAAATTATACTTACTGCAGACAAGAATAGCCGCCAAGACCATACCTGCAACCTGCCATAGTCGGAATCCCCATACATCAATCTCAGTAAACTTAACACTTGGGTTTTCAGTTGTACTGTCCTTAAAAAACCAATACGCAAATATTTGATGAAAGTGAAGGTTCAAGTAAACAGCCAGAGAGAGCAAAACAAACATACTGAGTAAAACTGGATGTATTAAGAGCATGTTATCAAAATGTGCATTTCTCTTAAGTCATTTTCTGGTAATTTCATGAAAAAACTGTTATAATTGTTTATAGTGCGTCACATAATATACTTAAAAGAAACAAGTAAATAGGGAAACATGCTCCTAATTAAATGCATCAATATTGTGCACGTTTATTAATAGGAACAGTTGCCATGGTGATCAGTCCTCAAAGACAAGATCAATAAATTCATTAAAATAGTAATATTATGAACACAATTTTAATGTGAAAAACACATAGAATAAAAGACCATTCAATTTATCAATCCTCATATTATTATACCTATTGTTTACACAATTTTGACTGTATTTTATATTGAACAAAAGTGTTTTTCTCTCTCTTGGTTTAAAAAAAAATAGGGAGAAATCAATTATTCATGCTAAGGTAGTTTACAATAAATGTCCACTTACCTCACTTTGCGCACTGCATGTTATAAATTGAGAAATGTATACAAATAATGGAGTAAAAAACACTCTCACTAAAAAGGATGCCGCCATATTGTTATATGACCCTCTAGCTTAGTGAAAATATGTTCAACAATTGTATAATTTCAAATATAGCAAGCGGTTTGATCACCTAGATTCAGCAATATTGTTTAGATGTCATTTAGATACATTAGTTGGCAGAAATGATGTTTATACTTAATTTAATTAATGATACAGAATGCACTCGTCAAATTACACTACACTTTTTCATCACTAACATATTATGTACATGACTGATTTGCCTAAACATTATTCTGTGAATTTAGGAAAAGATGCGACAAAAATGCAGAAAAATTTTAATATCCAATCAATGTAAACTGCTTAATTTTTACTACTATAATAGCATTGAATAAAGACAAAATTTAACTCCAAATCTTTAGAATCCCAGGAAAATTTTTTCCTGCTACAATTTTGTTTGCGATTTAAAATGAAAAAGAGCAAATAATAAAACCTGTATCCATGGAAATAATGTCATTTCTATAGCATCCTAATCTGGTGGCCATTTTGAATTCAAAACTATGACAACTATAAGGGTCATAATTCAAGAACTAGTTCAATTACTTCTTGTTTTTCTATATATAAAGAATAAGAAAATTACAGGAAATTCCTATGTCAAAAACGTTCCAGTCACTTCTATCCGTAAAGCTGTCAAATGTGAATATTTGGATGCGAAATTAACAGCATCAATCATTAACACCAGAGTTAGATCGAGTTGAGTAATCCAATACTAGAATATAGTCCGTATATGCCGTTTTAATTTTCTGTCTGATTAAACAGAGTACTCGCATGGAAGATTAGTTATTAGAATTTAAATTGGTTATTTCAACAGCAATTACACGCAATGCTATATAAATTCTTTACTACCGGTATACGACGTAAACATGCTATATAGCCAGAGTTGAGTATGTGGCACCAATGCATTTTTTTTTTGTAATTAAAGTGCACATGTATTTTTTTTTTAAATTATCATAAAAGAAAGGTTTTACAGGTTGATTTTTTAATTTTTAGGTAATGTTGCCGTAAATTTGTTTTTCCATAATCAACAGTGAGAGTTTTTCCCTGCTCAGTTCCCTGAATTAACGATTCTGATTAAAGATTCCGTTTCCCAACCCCCACATATTAAGTTCTTGGTTAATACAGATTTTTCATTAAATCATTAACTGTCTAGCCATCTTTAATCAGAACGTCAAATATGATCAGAGAAAGAATGTTAGAGATACGGCTGTAGAACAGCATTCATTAAAACAAAATGGCCACCAATCGGTCATTTTAAAGAAAATGATGTACATCATGGCCAAATGTATGTAACAAATTTTTCAATGAAATCTATCCATCCACACATAAAATTTCAAAACTTGCCTCTACAATAACATATTTAATATGATTAATAGTTCTTTTGTATTCAAAGAGCAAACGCACACATTCTTAGTAACAAAAAATTGTTTTTTTCATTTCCTAACTTTCTGTTGGTTCTTTTCTATTTTATTGGTTATAAATACCAGCTCACCAAATTTCACTCCAGTTTGATGTTTTGTTATTGTACGTACGTCAAATATTATATAGTTCATAGACATTTTCTAAGCTAGGTCACTGTGTTGCAAGTACAAAGTAATTCCAAAGACAGCCATGCCATTTATAGTGAAACCTCCCTCCTGCCTGCACATCGGCAAAGCTACTAGTACTGTGACACAACTCTGATTCACTTTAACTATTCACCGAACTGAATGTCAACAATTGCTTAAGAATATTACAAACCAGTATAAAATATTTTCAATGAATATAGGTCAAGAGCCACACTTCTCAAGCATTTTGACATAACCATGCATTGCGAAAAATCAGATAAACTGATTCATGACGGAGGTGTACAGCATCAAAAGCAGTTTTGAAACAAGACAATACAACTCTGTTGACACCTTCTCTACCCTGCTGTGCATTTAATGTTAATTACAAAATCAACCCAAATGTCCAACGCTATGAATTATGTTTCTGTGCAAATATATGCATAACATCTACGCTACAATATAGTCTTGAACTGACATATTTTAATATGCAGCCTTTCGACTAATTTAATTTGAGGAAAACACTTTTTAAATTACCAAGATTTTTGTAGTCACTTGCTTCGCCAGCTGAGTTGTCGTCATTGTTTCTGAAATAGTTTGACAATAAACACCCTTCAGTGTTCACCCAGGCTGATAAAAGACGAGTAACCAAAACTTAATTCGCTATTTTTTCAAAAGTTGATGTATCAAAAACATTCCATGTACAAGGCCCACTCTGTACATCCAAACGATGCATTTCCAAAAAAAAAAAAAAAACATGTGCAAAATAATCTAAAAAGTGGGCATTTTGGAAAACTTTCCATAGGATTCCATTATTCCATGAATAACTTGTACTTATATATAAAATTCTCCCATTTTTCATAAGTCATATTTAGTCCACTTAACACGACATATCATTTTTTTAGCACAAGTCCCCAAACAAACTTAGCTTGGTGACAATATATTTTTATCTTAGAATTTTGATCATTACAACAACTCTGGATTTCAAGGATTTCTGAGTATTGTTTTTAATGGTAGCAAACTATCAAAAAATAAATAAAAAAAAATAAATAACAGAAATAGTCAAGTACTATGAGTAACCATGTTTTTATTATAAATCACATAAAAATAAACCATAGATGCAAATGCCTTTCAAATTGTGTCCGATTCTTCCCTCGTCCACCGTTTTCTTGACCATGGATTTTGAAACGGTGGATGCGAATAACTTGGTGGCTATTTGCATTTACGGTCTATTCAAAAAAGTACATATCGGCAGTCAGTTCATATTGGTAGTAGTTATAAAAGTAAGACAGGCTAATCTAAATTGTCATAGGATACAAGTTAAAAGATATAAATTCTGTTCAATTGCCACCAGTAAAATTAAACTTTTTGTTTACATTGATTTGGGCCTAAATACATGCATTTTATTTAGCGAAAATCATTTTTATTGAATTTTAATACCATATTTGCTCTATTAGAAGCGCATCTCCAATAAAATACTTTGGAAAGAACATGGATAGCAGTGACCAGAAATTGTTTCAAATAAATGAATTGATTCACTTGCTAGAACAAAAAATATGCCTGATTAGTAAATAGCAGGCATTACAGCGCCAGGAAACAATTCGGTTGATATGAACCATCGGTATTGGTATGAACCTAGATCATCAAACAATAAGTAAAATTTTGTGTGAATAAAATAAATTTTACTTTTCAAATCTAGGTGGCGCTATTTGTGAAAATACATTATTTGATTTCAACAAGTTTTCACAATGAAGGTTTTCATTATAATATCTGTCAATATCATCAAGTTTTATGAATGTGCCCCTTTAAATACACTCAAATACACAACAAAATAATCTGATTAAAAATGCATTAAAAACTGAGTAAATATGCATGACATCATCAATAAATCTGGTTTATCACACAGTATATTAGAATAATTCTTATTCACTATCAGAGTCAATATTGATAACATCATCAATATGATTACTTGGTACGTCACAAAGCAGATATTCAGATAACGGTTGGACAGTGTATTTTGCAATACTGTCTAATATCCACTCCCTGCTCACAACCAATGCTGTATATTTCTTGTAAAAATCTACAGGGAAAAAATCAATTTATAAAAGCAATGTTATACAAGAAGCATGTCAGCTGATATAAATCTACAGGTTGTGATGCACACTCTGAAATCAATCTTATTCACAGTATAGAAAAAATTTGAAAATATTATTCTAAAATTAACAAATCTGAAAGAAATATAACCCAAAGGTTAACCGTAATTTAAAGAATTTATTATCATGAAAACAAAC